TCGGACAAAATTTGTCAAATACAAACGAAACGTGCTACAATATCCAAATTGTAAAAATTTACGATCTAAACCAGGCCTCGCTTAGCTCAGCGGTCATTAATTGAGCACCGCTCTCGAGAAATATTTTATCAGCTTAAAGCCACAAGAAAACATTATATATTAATTCGAAAGCATCCTCAAAGTGACCTCCCTCCAGCTCTAAGCTCTAGGCCGCACGCGCGCACACACGCGAAGCACTCCGTCCCCCTCAAGCGAGAGCCGAGGCCGCCGTCCAGGACGCGCACCTCACCGCACGCACCGGTGGCCGTCCTCCATTCCAATCTACCGGCGCGCGCGCACATGGACTGGCGCCGGGCCGGCAGCCCGACCTACGGGCGCCGGCGCTCGGCGGGCGGGATCTACTCGGCGCCGGCGTCCCCGGCGCACCCTCTCGGCGCCGCCACGACAACGGCGGCGGCGACGGCGTCGCCCGTGCACCCGCTAGCGGCGCGGTCCAACTCCAAGGTCCGCGCGGCCGCCGCCATGGCGCAAGCCATGTCGCGCGCCGCGGGCCCGCGAGACGACGACGACGCGGACCACGCCGGCAGCAACGGGATGATGAGCCCCCTCCGCGGCGGCGCGTACGGGTACGGGTACGGCGGCCGGAGCCCGTTGCACGCCGCCGCGGCCGGCGGCGGCGGCGGGGCCAAGGACAAGTACTTCGGTTTCGCTCTTCCTAAGGTATGTATTTACTCGATCGCTGCTTGCTAATTACTACTACTGCTGCTGAATTAATTACCGCTCGCATCGCATTTGCTTAGCTTGGAGACTCCTCCTTCCTGGTAGAAACTTGCCAGATTTTCGCTGGCAGTTTTGGATGTGTTTCTCGTGTTTTTTGTCGCTTTTTTTTTTGTTTTACGCTATTTTTTTGTCTGTTATTCGCGTGCGTTTCGATTGTCATCTCGTCGTTGGAACCTGGAACAAGATCAAACACATGTTCCTTTCCTTGGCGTATCTTACACGAGTAAGAAACGGAGGTAGCAGTACGTTTGTACGTAGATGCCAAACTTTGACCAGGATTCTGACGCGCCCATTGTGTTGTGTGAACTTCAAACTACTCCAACTCCAGCTATACAACATAAAGCATGCAGTGAAAAGTGCGCGTTTTTACTGCGATCCATGCATAGGAGTACTCCGTCAATCTAGGCATTATTAATCCACTAGGGCACTAGGCAATCCTGTGTTGCAATGCACCGCATGCAGGAGAAATTGATTTGCGTCCTGTTGCCAAAAGAAAAACATGACTAATTTTACCGAAGGTAACTGGAGCAATTTGGTCAACAACCAGAGGGTTTTGTTTAACCTGCTGCCCGGGGGGTCTCTCGCGAGGGTTAGCTTGGGAGAGCGGCCGGGACAAGTTAATTGCCGCGCATCCCGAGGCGGCCTGCTGGATCCTTCGATTGCGGCGGTGCGGCCACGCGGCACCCGCCCCGCACTCCGATGCCTGCGTGCATGGATCCATGCACGGTCAACGCCGCCCACCAATGCCTGCCTAGGCTTCCTTGCCGCTGACCTTGCCCTTTGTCTAGAGTGGATGCCCGGGTGGGGTGGGAGACGGCCGATCGGGTCGAACCGGCCGGCCAACCGGCGCTCGGGCGCTGGGCGCGCTAGCTGCACGTGCGATCACGAGCCGCCCTGCCGACCGGTCAGTCAGTCAGGTGTGGATCCGGCGGCTGTTCAGACTGCTTCGTAGAGTAGCGTGCGCGGAGGGGCTCGATCGGTGCCGGTGGTCAAAACGAGCGGACGGGACGAGCCCAAGGTGTCAGAGGGGTCGAAGTCGAAGCCCGGCTCTATGCATCAGAGATCTCGATGCGCCAGCTACGCGTTAAAAAATGGAACGGGCCACTCGACACGGTAGGCTTTTAAGAAAATGTTTCTTTCTCTAAATTCGTGCTTCGCTTCTTATTTAACGGTTCCTCGGCGGATCTTATTTAAAAATTTTATATTATTGACAAAAAATCATGATGTAAATAGGATCAGGAAAACCGAACTCTTGGCGTAACCGAGTATTATTATCAAATACTCCTAGTCCGCGAAATCAAAATCAAAATGCAAGAAAAAAGAAAAAGAAACAGACACCAACGTGGACCTGGGCCACCAGCCCATTAGAGTCCCTTCAGGCCCACTACAGTGTTGTCATGGATAGCTTCTGCTCAACGGCAGTGTTCAGCTTGCAGACCACTCACTCGCTAACGTCACTGCGCTTCTAACACATTCTTCGTCATCAAATCAAAATATCCTAAATGTCGCTGCTTAGACTGACTCCAACGAAGAGCACCCAAAAGTGAGACGCATTGTCGGTTTTACATCGCGCACAGTGAAAGGGTCCGTAACCCATAAACTCCCTTCTTCAACCGTCGGCCGCAACAGAGGTCCTCTTCCTCTTGCGAGCGCCGCCGCCTCTTCCCTTCCTCCTCTCGCAGGCCTGAGCGGGCGCGATGGAGCCAGAGGCAAGAGATTCCGTCTCCTCCACCCATGGTCGTCTTCTCCAGGCCGCCACGGCAAGCTCCGTCCCTTCCTCCTCTCCCGGCGAGCTCCGTCCCGGAGCGCTCGGCCCCGGCGAGCTCGACCCCGGCGCGGGCGCGCTCCGCCCCGGCGAGCTCGGCCCCGACGCGCTCCACCCCGGCGCGGGCGAGCTCGGCCACGGCGACGGTCGTCCCCGAGCTCGTGGTGGTGGGACCCGCCTGCGTGGAGGAGACGCAAAGGGAACGAGAGAGGACGCAAGTTTGCGTACCGTGTTTCGTCGGACGCAAAATGACCGTTGTGTTTGGGGACTCTGTTGGAGGATGATTTTTCCCCGCAAAAGCACTGTGCACTACGTAAAATGCGGATGGATCACGGTTTGGGTAGTCCGTTGGAGACAGTCTTACAATTATGCATCGTGATGGGTACAACGAAATTTATCAAAGCGAATTACACCTTCAAATAGACGTGCAAGTCAATGCCTACTACTGGTAATAGTCTACTACTCCCACCCGTCCAATAATATTCGACTTGCTGAGTCTTGGCTGAAATTAGCTGAAAAAGACTGTTCTGACTGAAATATTGTGAGAGAAAAACACTGTTCTATCTATAAAAAAAAAAGCCAAACAAGCCGAATATAGGATAAACCTCTGCAATATTTGCACAGTGAACATCAGTCCATCGATGCAGTGGGGCTGCAGCTGCTGCACTCCTGTCTCGCCCTGCGCGCTGGGCGGCCCCTAGAGACTGGAGACTGGAGACTGTCGTAAGACGAGGAGCCTCCAGGGAGATCGAGACGAGGAGCTGCCGTTTCCATTTTTTTTTTCTTTTTTAGGTTGACATGAATTAATTTTTTATTGTCTTATCAGCTAGAATCTACAGTATTTTTTTTTCATAACAAAACAACTGCAGTTGACTTATCAGCTGGCTTTAATGCCAGCCGAACAAACCTGCGGTTGCTGATAATGCGATGTGATAGTTTATGATGACCTTTTATTATGGGAATTTTTTAACCGGAAACATGCATTTATTACGGGACGGAGAAAGTACGTCGTTTTTTCCCTAGCCGGAAAACAGCGAGCTAGAAACCATTGCCCTATTCGTTTGGCTAATAAGCAATGGCTGAAAGTACTGTTGACTAATTTATTATGAGAGAAAAATAATATTCATTAACTAAAAAAGTACGACTTATAAGCTCAAGCGAACATGACGCATATTTCCGTGCCAAGATATATCTACCGCCAGTAATTTCTTGTGAGGAGATAATTTACGATTATACGTGACTGTTTAATTTTTTATTTTATTTTTATATTCTGAGTCCAGGGCATGACGGGGCTGTTCCTGTTCGATTTGATCGGGTCCACTTATAGCAAGCAACCAGCGTTTCCCAGGTCTCCCTCCCCGGCCCCTTTCATCCTTCTTCCCCTGACTGGATCACCTGCAGACTAACAAGTGGGCCCGCAAATGTGGCTGCACGTGCCACTGGGATGGATATTTGGTGCGAGTGAAGTTTTAAAAAAAAAAAAATCATCCATTTTGCACTGCAGTGTCCGATCTTTTTGCATTTTCCGATGTTTGGGAACCTTAAGTTTGCGTCCTAGGCCCTGGTTATCGGAATCATCCTAAAAAGTTCTTATGTTCTGGGACACGAACCAAGACTGTCTTCCTCAACTCTTTACAGACACTAGACCAAATCCAACTCTTACTATCTAGAATATTTTTTTGCAAAACACACCTCTATTAAATATTTTACTTTACGAACAACTAAAGAGGCCTCACTCACATAAGAGCACCCATAGCATGCAGAGAAATGATGCTTGGATTTAGAAATAAGCGGATCCAGCCATTGATTTTGCCGTTTTGCAAGGGTTGATGCTTATGTAAGTTTTTCTAGCTTCAATGCTTGAAGAAGCTCAGGTGCTTGTAGACTAAAAAATGTTATTGTCAGTTCACTTCTACCTAAACTCTTTCTCACTGCTCATCTTAAGCCAACTTAGGCATTTTTTTTCTTTTTGTTTATTTGATTCATGGGATTTACACTACGTAGAAAACCATTTCTAGGGGCGGCTGGTAAACATCTGTAGGGGCGGTTTTGCCAGCCGCCCCTATGAAAGGGTGGCTACAAATCGATGATTTGTAGGGGCGGTTCTCAGACCGTCCCTACAAATCAATTTGCAGGGGCGGCTACAGTACCAACCGTCCCTACAAATTATTTTTTCGCAAAAAAAATTAAATTTATAATTTAAATTCGACTAGAACATATATTTTTCAATTAGCATTAAAGATAAACAAGTAAACTAACCAACCTTGTTCTACCTCAAAACCATATGAACTTTAACTATGTCAGATATATTTACATATGGAGCAAACCATTTTTATATGGAAAGGGAATTTTCATAATTTCGTCAAACATACCATAACCGCACACAAAGAACTCAGACTAAGAAAAAAATAGAAATACAAAGTAAGGCAGATTGCATCATCTTTGCCTTAAACCACTATAGGAATGTATAGAAATTACTGAGTACACCAAGTTCTGACCACTGGTTTATGTAGACACTAAGAACAGCATCACCTGGACCAGCTGTGTTTCCTCCAATAGCAGCCATAACTCCTTTGAAGAATATGGCAACGGTCTGTATGAAATAATGAACTGGTAAGGATATAGAAGATCAAATAGGAACAAGTGAAAAAAAAATTAAGCTATCCAAGTAATTACCTGCTCATTAGCAGTTGGAGGAAGTCCACCCACATAGACACGCCGAGCATGTCGCGTAGCCTGTTGTGTCATGGCTTGTGGCTGAATAACAGGGGGGTTGAACTGATGCAAGGCAAGCAAAATTAGAAAACAACAAACATGATCAAATAATACAAGATACAAGTGTGTCCAAGAAACAAGGACAGTTGATTATCAAATTTGGATGCCAGATCATGACAGAATGACCATTCATGGTTGAAACTCAAATTAAAAACCCAAAAAGGAAACACATGGATTACCTGTCCAAAGCAGCCAAATTATACAAGTTTGGAAGCACCCCAACCCCGTAATTGGAGCAAAGACACCAGGAAGTCGACTGCAATTCATCAACGTAAGAATTTATGAAAATCATATTTTCTCCTCAAAACTCCAATCAGCTGTAGCATATTGTTTCAAGAAAATCAAACTATGAAACTACCAAAAATGTAACACATGCTGATATGAAGACGAACAAGATATCAAACCGTAGAGTGTCCTCCACAAAATGAAATTAGTTCTTCTATACGTAAGAAATCTGATTCCTAACAAGAATAACTCTTTATGGAGACAGTTGATTAGAGCGGAGTTGCCAAATGCCAAACTCGCTAAAGAATCTTAGGCATAATAAAGTTCAAGACCTTATTAGAACCACTAGTTTATATATTAACATTGATATATAAAGCTTAAAGAACAATTTAAATATCATTTTATTAATTTGTACGCATATTAACTAATCATAAATGAGTAATTCCAATTATGGATAAATATATGTAAAGATGAATCATACCAGGGGATAGCACCAAAGAAGCAGAGAATAGGAAGTGCCTGTTGTGGAGGTGCTTGGTCAAAATATTGCACCAATTTCCGTAATCCCTTGAAACTAGCAGAGTAAACTACCAAAAGAATCGTAATATAATTCATGTTTTGGTATGCTCGATGAAGAGCCAACAAATACAACACAAAGTCACTAATAAACACCTCAAGTGGTGCATGACTATGGAACCGCAAAGAGTTCTAGTTACTAAGTTTTTCAAAAAATTAGGCACTTAGGAATATCAAGGAATACCACTAATGAATCGACTATGGAACTCCAAGATTCAAAGTTGGATGTGTTAGTTTGTTGACTAAATTAAGTTGTAGAAATATTATAAATGCCTAATAAACTAGTATATATAAGCAAAATGGTTCACCTAAATGATCTCTCATGTGATTGTGTCTCGTGCTAGAGAAAAAAAGAAATAATTCAAAAAGTCGTGGCTCAGTAATTATGAACACAAACAACAAAAACTATAATAATTGTAAACCATGGTACTAAGCGGTACAAAGGTTGGCAAAGATTGACACAGCTCCATCACCCCACAAGCAAAGAAAACTAATCCAACTATAGGTCAAAAGAAAATGCACCTAGCACTTAGTCAAAAGAAGCCTTAACCGCCAAACAATCAAATGCCAACATGCGGCTTACTTCAGATGCTAATCACACAACACGAACTATGAAACATAAACATAGATTGCGAATAAGATGATATATTATAATAAGCGTAGGTAAGTTGTACAGTAATCTCAAGACCGATGTAAATGTAAGATTTCCTATCATAATTGATAAGCATTGGGCATCTAACTTCACTAACCCACATGAATTGCATGAAACCATCACTTCACCAACCAGCTTTTTACTTTTATTTGCATTAATTATTGGTGGGGAATCAAATCGCCACACAACCACCGGTTGAAATCACAAAGGCTAGCAATAATAACCGTTGCACCCACTAGACATCGAACCCATAACGCCTCAACAGAACAAATACATCCGACACATCGGATCTATCCCTCTAGAGCCCACATCGAACTCGAACTCCCACAGATCGCGTCATCGGTCGGCACCTAACTACTGTGGCATCGGATCGGGGCACGCGCATCGAACCCAGGGGCTGGGAGGAGCGGCGGCCGTCAGCGTGGTCGGAGAACCCGGCAGAGCTTGTTGCCGGTGGGCGACGAACCCCAGCCGGCAGCGCGCGGGCGGCTTCTTGCCGTCTGGCCGGTCTCGCCGGATCGAGCTCATCCTCGCCGGATCGAGCTCATCCTCGGCGGATCTGGTGGTGGCCGCCACCATGTGCTTCATGCGGCCTCCAGCAGCGTGCCGGAGCTCGAAGGGACGGCCCCCTGCGCGACTGCCGGCGCTGGAGGAGGGGGGGTGCGACGCCGTGCGCCTCCGCTGGAGAGGGAGGGTCACAGTGTGGGGGAGAGGGAGGGGCGGCGTGGGGGAGAGACGGAGGAGGGGCTCGGAGGACAGGGAGGGTGCGGCGCGGGACAACGAGCGAGGGAGAGAGAGAGAGAGGGAGGGGAAGGAAGAGTCGAGACGGAGAGAGAGAGAGAGAGAGAGGGGGGGGGCAGATGATATTTTCGTTTGGTGTCGCTCGGGCATTTGTAGGATTTGTTGAATCACCAAATACCTTTACAAATACTAATACTGGGCGCTGGTGAGTGAGTGAGCCATCTACAAATCAGACCCATTTATAGGGGTGGCTCGTATCACCAACCGCTCCTACTGTTTTATTTGTAGGGGCGGTTGGTCTCTGGGCTCCTCAGCACGTCACTGTAGGAGCGGCTCCATCACCAGCCGCCTCTATAAAAAATTTGTGCCGTTGCTATAAATCTTTTTTCACGTAGTGTTACCTGCTTGAACATTACAACACAAACAGAAATCAAGGATCGCTTGTGATAAGTTGGTTGGAGCATCAAATTCAAGGAAACACGCATTGGGTACTCTAAGGTGAAAATGACATGCTCAGATGGAATGAGTCCACGATGTAGTCCATACACCTTGCTCATTCATCTCATTGGTAACCTTCTAACCACATTTTGACCGCCCCTAAACCGCTGGGTCAAGCGAGACAAAGGTGAAAAGCGATCCATTTTGGACCCCTCTCTTCTCTATCACCACTGACCTTGCTGGAGACAAGAGTGAGGGATCCCACCATGTGGCTCTAGATCTACAATTTAGCTTTTAAGTTTGTCGTCTTTGTTCTAAGTGGTTCACGCTGTCATAGAGCTAGTTACTCTTTGGCTTGTCGTCTTTGCTCTGACGTATGCTACTGTTTCAGGGGAAACACATGAATATGTGCACATTCTCACATATGTGGCCTCTACCAACTACAATGATTAGATTTTAGGACGATGCCATGGGAGATAAGGGTGATTACTATGTGTCCAACTTCTAGCATTAGCATCCTCACATCGTCCTTGTAGTGGTGGAGGTCCTCGACATCTTTATCGCCTCACATGATCGATGGGATAATTGAGGTAATTACTAATAAAGGAGATTTATCCTTGAAGTGTTTTTTTAAGTTCGATGCAACTCATGGGGCGATTGAATGACTTCGAAAACAACATTGTCCGTTGAGCATGTTGTTGGGCACTAGGGTTGTTGATCGAGTTGATCTCAAACACTTCGTGGTCAACTCAACCAACATCTAAATTGTTGGGGGTGTTTGGGTCTGATTTGTAGTTCTAGAACTTAGAAATTGGAATGGAGCTTAAGGAGGCTCCAAACATTGTGGTGTGACGCTGGACAGAGCACCAAGGAGACGCGTCATTAACCGTGATGATGAAGGATAGGCGATAAGCGATGTGAAAGATGGGGGAGAACAAAAATAAATGTTTAGGCCCTGTTCGATTCTCTTATAATCCGTCTTTTTCAGCCGGAACAGTGTTTTTCTCTCACAATAAATTAGCCGGATCAGTATTTCGGCTTATTTTTTTAGCGAAGCGAATGGAGCCTTAGTGTGGTTGGAAGGCAGCACCATGGATTGAGCGAATGTTGAGTAGAATGTAGCCTCGTCAAGAGGAGGAAGAAGATTATTTCTGGTCCTATGGTTGATCGGATGGCAATACATCGTATGAAAGGAAGTAAAAAGTCAGAATCGAAGTGTTAGCATCTCCTGTAATTTCATGTTGTAAAGAATATCACTAAAATAAATCAAGAGAAAATTCACTAAAATATAAATGAAAAGAAAAAAAATACAAGGCAAAAACTACTATAAATAACAATGGGTAATTAATAATTTACAAATATCAAACGGACAGGGTGCAAACCGACGCGCACACCTTTCCCTTTCCAACATTTCCGCCCACCTTCGTCGAAACGGCCAAAGCCGCAAATCCGCGGGCTTCTCTTTCTCTTCGAAGTTCGAAGTTCGAACCAAGACACAAGGCGGAACGCGAACGTCAAACCAAAGTCAACGAGGCGGCGGTTAGGCGGCCACCCACCCCAACGCCGATGGACGCGCCCCGCGGCGGCGGCGGCCACATGCGGCGGCCGGGGCCCTCCGGCGCGGCGGCGGACCAGCGCCGCGCGGCCGCGGCGCAGGCGATGGCGCGCATGGAGGAGATGATGCTCGCGCACGCAGGCGCCGCCGGCGAGTTCAGTATCATCCTCGACGCCCCTCTGCCTTCGCTCCAGCAGTACCGCCGCAACCCCGCGCCGCCGTCGGGCGCCACGTCGGCATCCTCCTCCACCAACTCCTCCCCGTTCCGACGCGGCGCGCAGGGCGGCGGCGGAGGACGGGACGAGGGAGTCCCCGCGCGCTTGCGCCGCGACGGGAGCGGGAGCGGGCACGACGCTCTTGACGACACGGACACCGCCGCGGCGCGCACCTCTCGCCGCGGCGCGGTCGATGGAACGGGCGCGGGCGCGGCACGGCCGCGAGCGGGTGGCGCGCGCCGCGAGCGCGAGCAGGAGGAGACGGTAGAGGCGCCGGTGCGGCTGACGGACCCGCGGAGCGTACGGAGGCCGGTCTCCCGCGGCGCGACGCCTCCACCGAGGTCCACCGAGGTGAGACGCGTGGCGGCTCAGGAGGAGGAACAGCGTGCCGTGCGCCGCGAGCGCGAGCAGGAGGAGACGATAGAGGCGCCGGTGCGGCTGACGGACCCGCGGGTCGTTCGGAGGCCGGTCTCCCGCGGCGCAACGCCTCCACCGAGGTCACGCGTGGCGGTTCAGGAGGAGGAAGAGGAGACGCCGCTTCAGCTGCTGGCACGCGGCGGGCGGAGCTCAAGCGCGACGAGGTCTGTAGAAGCGCCGCAACCGACGGTAGCGCCGCAAGCGTCAGAGACCGTGGCTGCTGCCAGCCTGCCTGCCACAAGGCCCTCTAGTCGGCGGTCGAGGCGGGACGTCGGCGTGAAGCAAGTTGTGTCTGAGGTAGCGTCGAGCGTGGACTCTGACGTGGAGAGCGTCGGGCGGTGGAGCAGCCGAGGGAGTGAGGACGGTGGGGATGAGGCAGTGTCGTTGCCCAAGCCTTTGGCGGCCGTCGTCGCCAGGGACCGGAGCAGGAGCAATTCGCCCGCGATAAGTAATGTCAAAGATGATAGCTTACCATTTGTTATCTCAAGCAATTCGTTTGAAACAACTCGGAATTTAGCTATAGCAAAGAAAGAAACAAGTCTGGAAAAAGTATTAGTACTGTTTTGCTCTCATATGCTCTGCTTGATACTCTGTTTGGAACCAAAAGATTATAACAATATTTTGTTTTAATTTTTAAACTATGAACAATTTATACGATACAAAGCATATGCCATACAAGCCACTGGAGAATGTAGTTGCTGAAGTTGTGATTCGGGTCTGTTCTCAGTTTATTTCAGTTACTGGTGACTGATAATTGATTGCATTGCTGTTATTGTTTTTCCTTGTCCCACAACTTTTCATTACTGGTAACTCGAGATATAGTTATTTAAAAACATGGTATTGTTAAATTTGTTGTTTCTTGCTGTACATTCTTGTTTCATGCTGCTGCTGCTTTGATGTTTCCTTTTGATACAATTTATATTTTTGCTTCATGTGAACATGAAGTTAAGGAGATATGAGAAGTTAATTCTTGATCCAGAAAAGTATTACTTCTTTCAACTTCTTTTTTTAAAATACAACAACAACAACAACAAAGCTTTTAAGTCCCAAACAAGTTGGGGTAGGCTAAACTTCTTTTTTTTTTAATATTCTGAAGAAACTACTTGCAATCTCAGATGCTGAAGCAAGCCTTGTTCTCGAATATTTCGGTCACCTATGAAACGGCGCACCTTATTTCCTCTGTCATTGTTTACCTAGTTAGGTCGGAATGGTGTGGACTCAGCTGCAGCAAATCGTGCACCATCAACAGGAAGGTCAACCTTTGCACCTCCAGTTGGCGTTAGTGTGAGGCCTCTACAAGCTGTGGAAATTCCCAATGGGACACCTAAGGATAGAAGGTGAATTGTCAAGCTTTTTTGAGATAATTCTCTTGCTATTTCATTGTCATATTGCCAGCACGTCTCTTGAAAACAGATGCCGCTCTCATTCTATTAACGATTTTATGCCCCAGTTCATAGTTGCGACTTATGTTTTTTCTGCTACATATTTAGATTGTAGAGTTTCATACATTGTACTTGAGAGACAAGCCACTTTCTTCACTTCTTGATTGCATAGAATTTTTATGTTCCTTTATAAATATTGCTTTGGAATGTCCTTTTTCATAGACCCAATGCCTTTCTCTTGGCATAGACAAGTGTGTTCCTATCTTTTTATATTTAGTTTTCCTCGAAAGTATGAATATTTTAATCAGAAAAACTTTTTTCTGCTGTTAATGTTCATCATAATGTTGCTAATGTATTCATTGCATAGGAAATTAGTCTGACTTCCTTCTCAGTATGTTTCATCATTACTGATATAATTGTAGTCTATCTATAACTCTATAAGTAGTAATGAGATTGCTGGGATTAACAGTTGATATTTCACCATGCTGTAGGGCTGTTTATCCAGATCCCACTTTTGCCCAGTCCGCACGGTCACGGGACTCACATGACAGTTCAACACTAACAGAAGAGGTCTGTCGCAAAGCTTACTACTGATCACACCTTCTACATTCTATAGTTTTCAGATGCTTTTCTACAGAACAATTAGTGAACTTACACAGGGCTTTCGTCAGTAATAGTGACATAACTTTTTCCAATTAAGAAATCTGACAAATGCTGCTTTTGTTTTTCAGCTTGAAATGCTAAAAGATGAGAACGTAAATCTTCTGGAGAAGGTGCACTATGGTTCTTACTTGTATTCTAACAGATTCCACGAATCAGAAAATAGAAGTATCTTCGTTTCATACTAAACTTATGTAATACTCTTCCGAATTCAGCTTGGGCTAGCAGAAGAGAAACTTAGACAATCTGAAGCCCGGACAACGGAGCTTGAGAAACAGGTATTCTGTTTGGCATTTCAAGTATCTGGTATGACTGTCCCAGATTCTGCTTCATTCGTATTGTAAAACTTGATATAATTAATAGTTATGCAGCTTCATTCAGAGATCTGAAATTTTAATACTGTGCTTGATGAGTTTCTCAACATGCATCATACTATTGCTTCATAGTATACATTTTCAAGTGTTCAATCGGTACTTGTAGTGTTAAGATTGTATTATTGTATAGTGGCATAATCAAGAGGTTATACCAGCCTTTTCTAACAAATTTATTATAGTATCATACTACCATTTTCCATAAGCGTAGTTTTTACTTCTAAATGATGCCTCTCCAAATATGAAAGTTCATTCAGTCAGGATTGAGTTTAAATTATTTGCTTTTGCATTACTTCGTTCATGTGACCATTGTGATTGGATAATTTGATTATGTAGAGCACATATGATATCCATTTTATATCTTTGTTGTCTGCAATATCTCCAGGTTGCTAATCTCGGTGATGGGTTATATGGAAGTAAAACTTATGAAAAGGTATTTGGAGTGTATTTTTGGATATTTTACACGTTGTTTCCCCTATCACATTATCCATGACTTCCAACTTATGGATGCAGGAGGGAGGAGATGCTTGTAAGAAAGGAGGTACAAGTTTAATTTTGCATGTTTATCTGTTTATGCTAATAGTGATCAATTGGATTTTTCTGAAATGGAACTGAACACATGTTAAATAACATTGCTATCCATTCTAGAAGTGTGATGGATGATGCATTAGAATTCCCTCATTTCATTGTTTGAAGTGGCCCGAATCCATACTTTATATAATCTAAGTTTTGATAGAATAATTGCTACTCTAGGAAATTTCTTCAGCTGGTAGGTGTTACAAGAGGACATGGTGTTCATACATATTTTTTTCCCTGATTTAAAAACAGCAAGAGATAAGAAAAGCTCTTATATCCAAGAATGGTAAAAGTGAGGAACTCACCACTCTTCAACAACAGCTACAGGTAAGGTGCTAGCCTATGCCCTACAATAAGGAACATTATGAGTTCAACTATCAGTTGTCAATAATGTTGTTTTCTGTTCTAGTCTGCAAGAGAAGAAGCATCTGCTGCTGTGAAGAAACTCAAAGAAGCTGAATCCGAAACACAAGAGTTACGTACAATGACACGCAGGATGATCTTAAGCAAAGAAGAAATGGTTAATTTCCTCTATCATTTTTCCTTTTATCCAAAGATTCAACCAAGCATAAATGTCTAGTTGCTTGTGGAAGTGCTGATTTGAAGCACATAATTATTGTACAGGAAGAGGTTGTCATGAAGAGGTGTTGGTTAGCCCGTTATTGGGGCTTGGCTGTCCAATATGGTAAATTCAGAATAAGACAACCTTTTTATTTTTGCAACGAATTCAATTGAATGCTGGTTTTGTTAGCATGTGGGGATCTATAACATCAGTCTTCCTAAAATTCCTGTCATTCTTGAGTTCACAGTAACACTGTTATGTTTCCTTAGTTTCTAAACTCCTGTCAGAAAGCAGTGACCGAATTCCCCATATCGTAACGTATTTACCAATTGATGCTTTGTTTTTTTCTGAGTAAATTCTTGCAATTCTGCAGGCATTTATCCAGATATCTCAATGTCAAAACATGAATACTGGTCTTCACTTGCACCTCTTCCGTTTGAGTATGTAACATCGGCTGGACAGAGAGCTAAGAATGGATCTGAAACAGAAAGTAATGGTTTGGAAGACGTAGACAAGCTTGTTCATGATTTGACTGTTACAGCAGGGGAAGGCAACGTAGAAACCATGCTTGCTGTTGATAAAGGACTTCAAGAACTAGCTTTCCTGAAGGTGCTTATCTTTTTTAACTAGGCTTTCATCCATATTTATTATTCATAATATACATTCAGCAGTTCTCAGCACCTTAGGTAGCCTGGTGCTGAAGATTTTCTAGATCAAACTTTGCCATTTACCTTTTTTCTGTTGTCACTTTTCTGATGCTCCTAATTATTTTTTGGAGGTTGAGGATGCGGTACTTTTTGCCCTTGCCCAACACCATCGTTCAAATGTTGCTGGAGCAGCTGATCCAGGTTTCTTCTGTTGCTTTTCCTATTTGTTATTAATAATGTACCAAGAATATTTTGCATAAAAGATCATTATATTATGAATCATCAATTGATCAGTTGACATTATTCCTTAATTGGCCATCTGAGAAGCTAACTCACGTTTATGGTTTGGTGTTTCACATATGCAGATATTAAATCATCTGGGGATGAAAAATTCACTGAAGCATTTGGTACTGTTATCTCTCTGTTTTCTGTAACCATCATATTAATAGCTAGCTGTACGAGTGATGTTCTTTCAACATTAGTTGGCTGGTTAGCTGTAGCATCACCCAGTGCCATGTTTGTTCTGTTGGGAAACGTTACAAATTCATGACCAATACTTAATCTAACTTGTGCAGACCTAAGCAAGGAGGAGGAAGAAGATGTACTGTTCAAGCAGGTACCGTCCCTATTCCTTTTTCTCTGAGCCTGACTTCAATCAGCAAGTTGGTTAATTCTGTGCCAAGTTAATTACTAATAAAATTCATTTTGCTTCATGGTGACTGTGTCATCCCTTGTGAGTTTATTCCTTTAGTCTTGCGTGTTTTAGTATAAATGTGGCTAGAATAGAAGTTCTTGGTTGTTGCCTTGGTGGCCTAAGGCCAATGTATTAAGAAAAGGAAAAATGAAGTGTCGCATATCATAATTACAGTCAGTTTTGTAGAGCAGAAAAATGAGCTGCATGAGGATGCACAGTATGAGTTACAGAAAAAAGTTGTTCAATAGACTTTGGCTATATAGACCAAAGAAGTACAACATGCCAGATGCCGAGATTATGTAAATGCTAATGTTCTTATGTGGTGACCGTCAACTCTGATGCCACTGCTCAGGCTTGGCTCATCTACTTCTGGAGGAGGGCTAAAACCCACAACGTGGAAGAGGATATTGCTGAGGAGCGATTGCAGATGTGGATCGATCGACACGGCCAGCAACCAACGTCACATGACGCTGTGGATGGTATAATTTTCTTTTTGCTAGTTTTCTTATATTATGCTTGTGGCTGGTGTCACACTGAACATCGAAGCCATAACGGTGTTGTTGATCGTGAAAATCAATCCTGGCCAGAAATGACTTATACCTTGAGCATTATTATATTCTGGCAGTTGAGCAAGGCATCCACGAGCTGAGGAAGCTGGGCATCGAGCAGCTCCTCTGGGAGCTCTCCCGCCATGAGGCGAACCTCGCGAAAGATGAACCGTCGGATGTCGAGGACCTGACCTAACAGCCCTTAGCGGACGACGGCAACCATCTTCCGAAATGCAGTTCAACCATATATTTGTATATCACATACAGAAAACTGGGACAATGTAAACATTTTTGTGGTTTTGGTTTTCAGCTTTGTCACAAAACGGTTCATTGATTCTTTTCCCCCATGTACATAACTTCCACCCTACTTTTTTGGTTAGTAGCATAAAAAGCAGCTTGAATGGTGCAACTGAAAGTGTTGTTGCACATGGCGGCGAAAGGCGCAATAGATATAATGATTGTTGATTGATCAGCCGACTCTGCATATATGGGTTACACGGCATGCATGCAGTCCAACAATAGAAAGGAACAGGTCATGTATATTCTGGAGCCACATGAATGAAGAACATTAAAGCAATACTTGATTTGTCTAATTAACAGCAGGAACAGGGGTCAAATCAAACCTAGTGATGCGCTTGCCGTGTGCCTTTTACAAAGCTGAAGCAATCAGTGAGTCAGTAATACCTAGATCACATCTGGTTGCCAACTTTTTTAATTCACAATTACGTGCCATTTCATTTGATCTGGCCGGGTTAGCAGTGACACCAGAGCTAAAAAGAAGAAGCACCCGACACAAAATAAAAGACCCAGATAAAACCGAGGCCAACTAGGCCCATGGCCCGCTTAGTTGGCAGATCATGAACCGCGCTGGTAACAGAGGCCATTCGTCCTGCTCCAGAGAGGAAGGAGGTGGTGACTTGGCAACTTGCGGTCCTATCCCTCCGTCCCCATCCAGGCAACCACCCACCGCACATACTTCAGATATTATTGTAGACTAGAAATAGGCTACAGCTGCTAGGCTGAAACAGTCTCAATCGACGGCGCCAGACAAATGGCGTGGTTGTTACCCGGAAACAGCCAAGCAGAATTAAAAGTTCAACAGTGTGGATACGCGTCCAACACAACACCAACACCAACGCCAACGCGGAAGCTGGTTGATCAGAGATGCCAGAAACCAAGTACTGCAGCACAACACCATCGAGGACTGCTGGGAGCTGGACGAGATCCTGGGTACCTGTTCCGTGAAGCTCCGAGCAAGCTCGCTTGTCTTCTGTTTGACGCCTCCGTCGTACCCCCCCTGCAAGCAGGCCACCCCCAGGTTAGCCCCGGTGCAGTAAAAATTTTGTAAGTAGCTTTTCTCAAGAGTCAAGACAAATTTTAACCGTGTTTCTTGATATCACAAAGCTAGTGACTTGTCCAATTAACTACCTTGGTGGTACGCGCTTACAAAGTTATCCATGTTCCCATTACATATGCTACTCCCTGTATTAAATTGTAAATCATTCTGATTTTTTTAGATACATATATAATATATAGATACATAACAAAAGCTATGTACATATAGAAAAGCCATAACGACTTACAATTTATTAGAATGAAGCATGTAGATTGTAAATTTTAGCAACATGTGCACTAGCCTGAGTGTCTAATAAGTATCTCAATTGGTGAACGGTTGATACAGGACATGCCCCATCCTCAGTAAATATATGCAAGCGGGCCTTACTACAGTGCTCTAATTAGCTCCTACAAGGCAATACAGTAGTAAAGTCAATTCAAATATGACTCACTGATTTTTAGAAGGGATATATCACTTAATATTTGTAGAAGGTAACAAAAAAAAGCAAAATAAAAATCAACCATATGCAGAAGGATGTGATGTGGCCGCCGAGAGGTAATTGGAGCTCTTATATTCAATGTTTTTTAATTTCTTATAAACCACTCTAAATCCTTATTTGGACCGAGAGCAATTCCACCCTTGAACAATTTCTTTATATCTTGTTCCTCACTTTAGAGAACCAGCTCCGCTCTCGGTAAGCAAGAAACCAGAAATAGAGGACATGGATATCTAGAGATCTCCTAGTTCAAGATTGAAAATGTCAATAAAATCTCATTTCCTATCAATACAGAATGATATAAAGAGACCCTCGAAGTTGCTCTTGTGTTATAAGGTAATACATGATAATATTTCTCCAGATCTATCTAAATGGGCAATCCATACTCATTTAATAACACTCCATCGGTTCCAAATTATAAGCCACATTGACTTTTTTGGTACATTTATTTTGGTATACATCTAGATATAGTGTATGTCTAAATACATAGAAAATTCTATGTAAAAAAAGTCAAAACGACTTATAATTTGGAGTGGAGGGAGTACCATATAGTAAAGCCCATGTTTGCTCTTACCTTGTACAAAGGATTACTGTGTTATTATTAGTGAGTTAGGACGCGAAAGTCTAACTTTTTTCCCCTATAGGAGACAGAGTACCATGGAGACCGAGTTACAGCGTACCAGTGTGATGCCAATGGAGTTTACACTCCAGACGTTAAGGCATATTACGGATGGTTTTTCTATTAATCTCATAATTGGTCATGGTGGGTGTGGAGTAGTTTACAAGGTATGATTATCACTTGCATCCACAAATTACAAGAACTCATACCATATTATATTAACAAAATATATTCAATAGGGAGTATTGGACAATGGGGAAGAAATTGCTGTAAAGAAGCTTTACCGCATCCAGCAACCAGGACTCGAGAATAACAAGCAATTCAAGAATGAATGTACTAACCTTATGAGGGCTCAACATAAAAATATTGTACGGTTAGTTGGCTACTGCTACGAAATACGACACGAACTTGTTGAGCACAATGGAGAAGTCATTTTTGCTGGAGTGGAAGAAAGAATTCTATGTTTTGAATACTTGCAGGGTGGAAGCCTTGAAAACCATCTCTCAGGTATGATGGTTCTCAAATTAGACCGTCCATCAAACCATGCTCTTGCATGGCTAGAATTTTATAGAAGATATTAAGTATCAATTATTGCTTAATGCCGCTTACTAATAAAAATGTTTATATTAAATTGTATTTTCTTTATTTATTTTCTAACATAATAGGCATAATAGATACTTTGTAGTCTTTACACGATCATAACGAACTTACTAATTATTGATCTATATGTTTTTCATTAATATCCATAGTTTTTTTCTTTTGCACAACATCTTTGTGTATATTCAATATGCATTACGTTTAAACCTTATCTTCAATTATGGTGGCTCTTGTTGCAGCTCATATATTATGATGTCGTGCATCTAAATTTTGTTTTTTCAAATTTTATCTGGTTTGCTACAGATTTTTTATCCTCAAGTTAAGTTGAAGTTCTTGTTCTTATTCCATCCTTTGTACTTTTTAAATAATAGGGATTTGATATCATAACCTGCACTCTTAACTATTAGGATGGCATAACCAGTCATTTGAAATTTGCCAATAGTGATTAGAGTCTACTGAATTGATGGTTAGACGTTTTTGATATTTTTGAGAATTTCTAGAATCTTTTTTTATTATTATAGCGGGTCTTGTGAGGCTTAACGTGGAGGCTCTACATGGGAACTCTGGTTAGAATTTATAGAATTTTTTTTTTCATGCGCAATATGTATTAAGTTCAAACACTATTGCTTATGTATCATTTATTCAAAATTCTTTTTTATTTTATTAAGAAATATTATATGCCCAAGGCTACCCCATTGGCTTTTACAATGTCTCAAATAGTAGTTTTTCCTTGCACCATGGCACTCTAAATGTTGGATTTGTCATAGCAAAAAAAAATATGTGTTAGTAGTATTATTTTATAATATAGTGTTTAAATTAAATTGCTAATATTGCTATGACATAATGTTTCTTTAAAATGTATAAACTTATTTAAGATAACTTAGGAAATTTATTACCATGGAGTATTGATATAACTAAAAATTGTTAGTCCTTTCTATGCGCTTTCTTACATATTTTTTCCATGCTTCATAAGATATTAAAATAAATATTTATCTAATGCGTACATATTTACTTGATCTACATGGTGAAATATTATGTTTACTTTTAACTTAAGCACGTACAAAGTGTGTAACTTAAAAATATATGGATGTTGAATTATTTTTTCGTTATAGGTTATATTAGCATTTACATGTGGATTTGAGAGATATTTTTGTTATTTTTTTACAATGCATAGGTGGATAATTTATATACAAATTAAAAGGTTTACTTTCTAATCTCTTTCATGATGGCATATATTGGTAATTTAAATGCAAATTTATTAATTTGTATTATTTTTTATAATGGCATATGTGGGTAATTCGTGAAAATATGATAAAGTTATTTTAAATTATCTTTCATAATAGTAGAGTTGGGTATAGATACAAAGTTTGAGGGTCATTATGAATAATCTTTTATTAATGCAAGTGTGGGTAATTTAATTTTGAAATTTCTTTCATAATGGCAAAGGTAGGTGATTCTTTTATAAAACATAATAGATCTAATAGCTATTATTAGCACTAATGATTACATAATACCAAACTAAAGGCTAGATGTTTTTGTTTATCTTGAGAATTTTTTGAATGATCTTTTCTTTCTAGCATATCTAGTGAGAATTAATGTAGCCTATAATTAGTAATAGTAAGATTTTGTATGTAGCCCTTTAAAAAAGATTTTGTTTGTAATCTCTGCAATTTACTTCTTTCAATAGTGCACTTTATACATGCTTCTACAGATGAATCCCACGGATTAAATTGGTGCACACGTTACAAAATAATTAAGGGGATTTGTGAGGGCTTACACTACCTTCATAATGGATCTAATCATCCTGTTTATCATCTGGACTTAAAGCCTGGGAATATATTGCTGGATGAGGACATGGTGCCTAAAATAGGGGATTTTGGTTTGTCACGACTCTTTGATTCAACACAAACACATGTCACGTCAAAAGTTATAGGAACACGGTAAGTTAACTGTTCATGAGAACAATAAACTTCTGTTACCAACTTTTTTTTATTAAAAATATAACTGTATTTTCATACCGTGCAGTGGATACATGCCACCAGAGTACATCACGAGCCACAAAATCACAAACAAGTTTGACATATTCAGCTTGGGTGTTATCATCATACAAATAGTTGCAGGACCTGAGGGCTACACAAAAAGCGATGA